CTCCTCCCTTGGACACTTTTAAACAGAGGCTGGATGGCCATCTGTCAGGGGTGCTTTGATGGTGCTTTTCCTGTATGGCAGGGGGTTGTCCCTAATGGCCCCTGAGGTCTCTTCCAACTGTATTATTCTATGATTCTATGAATAGAATGGGATTGTTGCTTCCCTCCATCTAGACATGCATCACATTCAAGGCCCACCATATCATTTTATGTGGACAGCAACTGTCTTTATCATGACTAGAGTGCCTTCCAACTCTTTGATTCTATTGTACCCCAACTCCAACCATCAGAAGAGGCAGGTAATAAATAACATGTATTGTTATTACATCACCCCCCCCCCACATTTAAGCATATAACCCAGGCATGGGCCAACTTCAGCCCTCTCTCTAAGTGCATTGGATATCAACTCTCACAATTCCTAACAGTCTGCTGGCTGTTATAATCATTCCAACATTTTTTCTTGCCTACAAAGGATGCCTTTCTAGTAGGCATTGTGTGTCGCATGGTGGGCAGGCCAGGATGGAGGGGTTTTTCCCTAAGCCCCCTCCCTGCCCTTTCCTTCCCTTCCTCTTTTCTTCCTCAGAGGCAGAAAGTGAAGGAAAAATGGGAAACATGGTTCCTATGTTCCCTTCTCTACCATAATAACAATACTTTATTAATCTCCCAGAGGGTCTCTACCTTCTCTTCTCCCAGTTAAACATCCCCCAGGAGGAAAAAGAAAAGGAAGGAAGAAAGGGAGGAGAAGGATGGAAGGGAATGGAGGAAGGGAAGGGGAGGGAAGGAAGGAAAGGATAGAAGGAAGGATGGAGGGAATGGAGGGAGAGAAAGGAGAGGAAGAGGGAAGAGAAGGTGGAAGGAAGGGAAAAGTGGAAGGGCATTGGGAATGGAGGAAGGGAGAATGAAGAAAGAAAAAAGAGGGGAAGGAGAAGGAATGGAAGGAAGGGTGGAAGGGAATGGGGGGAAGAAAGGAGAAGAGGAAAGGCAAAAGGGAGGAAGAAAGGAAGAAAAGGGAAGGAGAGAAGGAGACAAAAGGGGGGAAGGGAAGAAAGGCAAGGATAGAAGGAAGGGTAGAAAGGAATGGAGGGAGAGAAGGGAGGGTGAAGGAAAGTCAAAAGGGAGGGAGGAAGAGAAGGATGGAAGGGGAAATGAAGGAAAGGCAAAAAGGAGGGAGGGAAGGGAGGGAAGAATGAGAAAAGGCAAAAGAGAAGGAAGGAACGATGAGAAGGATGAAAGGGAAGGAAGAATGAAGGAAAGACAAAAGGGAGGGAGGGGAGGAAGTGTGAGAAGGATGGGAGGGAGGGAAGAATGAGGAAAAGGCAAAAGAGAAGGAAAGATGAGAAAGAAAAATGAAGGAAAGACAAAAGGGAGGGAGGAAAAGATGGAAGGGAAGTAAATGAACTAAATAACTAAAAGAAGAGAAGGGAGGAAAGATGGGAGGAAGGAAGGAAGAAGGGTGAGGGGGAGGAGAAATAAAAAGGAGGGAAGAGAATTGAAAGGAGGAGGGAATAATGGAAAGAATGAAGAGAAGGATGGAAGGAAGGGTGAATGGGAAGGGAGAATGAAGGGAAGACAAAAGGGAGGGAGGGAGAGAGGAAAGGAGAAAAAGGGGGAAGGAAGGGGGATGGGAAAGGAAAGAAGAAGGAAAGAGTGAAGGATAGGGTGGTGAGGGCCTGAGGAAAGAGCCCAAGGGACCGCCTCCTGCTCCTGGGCCGGGGATGCCCATGCCTGCTCCCAGGAGAGTCTGGCCCAGTCCTCGGCTCACCCTGGAAGGCCAGCAGAAGGAAGTGAAGGAAGGAAGGGTGAATGGGAAGGGAAGGAAGAAGGGAAGTCAAAAGGGAGGGAGGGAGGGAGGGAGAGAGGAAAGGAGGGGGGAAAGAGAGAAGGAAGGAATGAAGGGAAGACAAAAGGGAGGGAGGGACTGCGGGAAGGAGGGATGAAAGAAGGAAGGGCCGAAGGGAAGAGAGAGAAAGGATAGGATGGTGAGAAAAGAGCCCAAGGAAGGACAAAAGGGAAGGGAGAGGGAAAGAAGGGAGCAAAGGGATGAAGGGAGGAGGAGGGAGGGAAGGGAAAGAGGAAGGAAAGAGAGAAGGGAGGAATGAAGGGAAGACAAAAGGGAGGAAAGAAGGAAGGGCCAAAGGGTTGAAGGGAAGGGGGGAGAGAAAGAGAAGGAAGGAAGGAAGGGGAGAGGAGGGCCTGAGAAAAGAGCCCAAGGAAGGACAAAAGGGGAGGGAGTGAGGGAAGGGCGAAAGGGTTGAAGGGAAGAAAGGAGGGAAGGAAGGGAAAGAGGAAGGAAAGAAAGGATAGGGTGGTGGAGGAGTGGAGTGCCTGAGAAAAGAGCTCCAGAGGCCGCCTCTTGCTCCCGGGCCGGGGTTTGCCCATGCCTGCTTCCCGTAGACCCTGGCCCAGTCCTCAGCTCATCTTGGAAGGCTAGCAGGTGCTTCTCCCGGAGGACAGAAGGAAGTGAAGGAAGGAAGGGAAGTCAAAAGGGAGGGAGGAAAGAGGAAGAGAGAAAGAAGGAATGAAGGGAAGACAAACGGGAGGGAGGAAGGGACAGAGGGAAGGAGGGAGGAAAGGAGGAAGGGCCAAAGGGTTGAAGGGAAGGAAGGAGGGAGGGAAGGGAAAGAGGAAGGAAAGAGAGAAAGGATAGGGTGGTGGGGGAGAGGAGGGCCTGAGGAAAGAGCCTAAGGAAGGACAAAAGGGAAGGGAGAGAGGGAAGAAGGGCCAAAGGGAAGGAAGGAGGGAGGGAAGGGAAAGAGGAAGGAAAGAGAGAAAGGATAGGGTGGTGGGGGAGAGGAGGGCCTGAGGAAAGAGCCTAAGGAAGGACAAAAGGGAAGGGAGAGAGGGAAGAAGGGCCAAAGGGTTGAAGGGAAGGAAGGAGGGAGGGAAGGGAAAGAGGAAGGAAAGAGAGAAAGGATAGGGTGGTGGGGGAGAGGAGGGCCTGAGGAAAGAGCCTAAGGAAGGACAAAAGGGAAGGGAGAGAGGGAAGAAGGGCCAAAGGGTTGAAGGGAAGGAAGGAGGGAGGGAAGGGAAAGAGAGAAGGGAGGAATGAAGGGAAGACAAAAGGGAGGAAAGAAAGAAGGGCCAAAGGGTTGAAGGGAAGAGAAGGAAGGAAAGGATGGTTGGGGGGGGTGAGAAAAGAGCCCAAGGAAGGACAAAGGGGAAGGGAGAGAGGGAAGGAGGAAGGGTCAAAGGGTTGAAGGGAAGTAGGGAGGGAAGGGAAAGAGGGAGGAAGGAATGAAGGGAAGATAAAAGGGAGGGAGGAAGGGACTGAGGGAAGGAGGGACGAAAGAAGGATGGACCAAAGGGTTGAAGGGAAGGAAGGTAGGATGGTAGGGGAGAGGTGGGCCTGAGGAAAGAGCCCAAAGAAGTACAAAAGGGAAGGGAGAGGGGGAAGGAGGAAGGGCCAAAGGGTTGAAGGGAAGGGAAAGAGGAAGGAAAGAGAGAAGGAAGGAATGAAGGGAAGACAAAAGGGAGGAAGGGACTGAGGGGAGGAGGGACGAAAGAAGGAATGGCCAAAGGGTTGAAGGGAAGGAGGGAGGAAAAGAGAAGGATGGACAGGAGGGAGGAGGGCCTGAGAAAAGAGCCCAAAGAAGGACAAAAGGGAAGGGAGAGAGGAAAGGAGGAAGGGTTGAAGGGAAGGAAGGAGGGAGGGGAAAGAGGAAGGATAGGGTGGTGGGGGCGAGGAGGGGGTGAGGAAAGAGCCCCAGCGTCCGCAGGGAGAGAGGGAAGGGAAAGAGAAAGGAAGGAATGAAGGGAAGACAAAAGGGAAGGAGGAAGGGACTGAGGGAGGGAGAAAGAAGGGCCAAAGGGTTGAGAAGGGGAGGGAAGAGAAGGAAGGATAGGATGGTGGGGGAGAGGAGGGCCTGAGAAAAGAGCCCAAGAAGGGAAGGGAGAGAGGAAAGGAGGAAGGGCCAAAGCATTGAAGGGAAGGAGGGGGGAAGGGAAAGAGGAAGGAAAGAGAGAAAGAAGGAATGAAGGGAAGACAAACGGGAGGGAGGAAGGGACTGAGGGAAGGAGGGACAAAAGAAGGAAGGACCAAAGGGTTGAAGGGAAGGAAGGAGGGGAGGGAAAGAGGAAGGAAGGAAAGAAAGAAGGATAGGATGGTGAGAAAAGAGCCCAAGGAAGGACAAAAGGGAAGGAGGGAGGAAAGAAAGAAGGGCCAAAGGGTTAAAGGGAGGAGGAGGGAGTTAAGGGAAAGAGGAAGGAAAGAGAGAAGGAAGGAAAGGGTGGTGGGGGAGGAGGGCCTGAGGAAAGAGCTCAAGGAAGGACAAAAGGGAAGGAGGAAGGGTTGAAGGGAAGGAATGAGGGAGGGGAAAGGATTGGGATGGTGGGGGAGAGGGGGGCCTGAGGAAAGAGCCCAAGGAAGAAGGGAAGGGAGAGAGGGAAGGAGGAAGGGCCAAAGTGTTGAAGGGAAGGAAGGAGGGAAAGGAAAGAGGAAGGAAGGATAGGGTGGTGGGGGCGAGGAGGGCCTGAGGGCAGATCCCCAGGGTCCGCCTCCTGCTCCCGGGTCGGGGTTTGCCCCTGTCTACTTCCGGGAGACCCTGGCAAGCATCCTCAGAGGTAGTGAGGTCTCTGAGGATGCTTGCCACAGATGTAGGCGAAACGTCAGGAGAGAATGCCCCTAGAACATGGCCATATAGCCTGAAAAAAACTACAACCCAGTGATTCCAGCCATGATGTCCCAGAGTCCCGGGCTCACCTTGGAAGGCCAGCAGGTGCTCCTCCCGAAGGAAAGAAGGAAGTGAAGGAAGGAAGGGTGAATGTGAAAGGAAGGGAGAAGGAAGGGAAGTCAAAAGGGAGGGAGGGAGAGAGGAAAGGAGGGGGGAAAGGGGGAAGGAAGGAGGGAGGGAAGGGAAAAAGAAAGGAAGGAATGAAGGGAAGACAAAAGGGAGGGAGGGAGGAAAGAAGGAAGGGTTGAAGGGAGGGAAAAAGAAGGAAGGATAGGATGGTGGGGGAGGAGGGCCTGAGAAAAGAGACCCTGCCCCAGAGTCCTCGTCTCACCTTGGAAGGCGAGCAGGTGCTTCTCCCGGAGGCTCTCTCCCACCCGGCGCAGCGTCTCCAGCGCCCGCGCCACCTCGGCCTCGTCGGGGCTGCTCCCGAAGCGTCCCAGGAGGCCTTGGAGGGAGAACTTGGGCCCGGCGGAGCCTTCGGAGCCGGCCTCGCGCAGGTAGCGGCCCACCACCTCCAGCGTGGTCTTCCGCAGGTGGTCGGGGCAGAGCGGGGGCCCCGCTTTGCCTTCTTTCTCCTCGGGCATCTCTTTGTCGGGCGAGGGGGTGGACGAGGGCACGGCTTCGTCCTGGTCCTCGTCCTCCTCGCAGCCGTCGAGCTCTCCCTCAGGCAGCGGGAGGGAGGCCGGGCGCCATTTTGGCTGCTCTCCTTCTCCCTCAGCGGGAGAGCCAATCAGCGCCCGCGGAGCCCCCTGGCAAGGGCCAATCAGCGCGCTCAGGGGTCCCCCGCCAATCAGAGGGCGCCGCCCCTCCGAGAAGAAGGCCTTCGCAGATTCCTCGCCGCCATTGTTGTTCCCTCCGCCGCCGCTGCTGCTGCTTTCCCCGACGCCTCCTCCGGCTCCGGGCGAGGCGGCGGCGTTGGGCGCCATGCTGGGGGCTCCCCCGCAGACCAGCACCATCGACTTCTTGTTAAACATGGCGGCCGCCTTCTCCTCAGCGAGATGCTCCGTCTCGTCGCGTCGCTGTGGAGAGGGAGTGGCGCCGCCAACGGCCGGGTCTTATATAGACTTCCACGGCGTGACGTCAACGCGCACGCAAAAAAAGGAAATGAAGCCACGCCCACCGCTTCCGGAGGGGAGGGGGGAATGCTCCTCGCCAGGCTGGCAATGTGAGGGGGCGTGGCTAGAGAGGCAGGGGGCGTGGCTAAAGGGAATCATTCTGGGAACTTCCAGGAGGAACCAAGGAAGGAATGAATGGAGTCTAGATTTGGGACAATCATGTTGAAATCCAGGGGAATATCTATATATATACACACACACACACATTTACATATATTTACACAATGTAAATATATATGTGTGAATATATATTTATTAAACATATTGATAAATAGTACAATAGAATCATATATAATATAATATAATAATATATAATGTAATACCGCAAATAATAATAGTACTTACAATATTAAACACACACACACACATTTACATACCTGTATATATGTGTGAATATATATTTATTAAACATATTAATGAATAGTACAATAGAATAATATATGAATTAAATATTATATATTACATGCAATACGGCAAATAATAGTACTACCAATATTGCAGTACAGTGGAATAGTACGATATAATGATATAAAATAATGATATTGTTGCCATGCTAATAATATAATACATTATTATTATTAATAATAATACTATATTATATATATTACATGAATTAATAATATTATAACGTAATACATTAAAATACTAGTAATAACAATAGTATAATATACAATATAATAATTATTTATTTATATATTACATGTAATACCGCAAATAATAGTACTACCAATATTGCATTACACTGGAATAGTACAATATAATAATATACAATACTGATATTGTTGCCATGCTAATAATATAATATATTATTAATAATAATATTAATATTATTGTCGAAGGCTTTCATGGCTGGAATCACTAGGTTCTTGTGGGTTTTTTCGGGCTATAGAGCCATGTTCTAGAGGCATTTCTCCTGACGTTTCGCCTGCATCTATGGCAAGCATCCTCAGAGGTTGAGGTCTGTTGGAAGTAGGAAAAATGGGTTTATATATCTGTGGAATGGCTGGGGTGGGGCAAGGAGCTCTTCCCTGCTGCAGTTAGGTTTAAATGTTTAGCTGATCACCTTCATTAGCATTTGAAGGCCTGCCTGAGTCTGGGAAAATCTGTTGCTGGGAGGTGTTAATCTGTGCCTGGTTTTTTCCTCTCTGTTGTTTAGCTGTTATACTTTTAGAGTTTTTTAATACTGGTAGCCAGATTTTGTTCATTTTCATGGTCTCTTCCTTTCTGTTGAAATTGTCCACATGCTTGTGGATTTCAATGGCTTCTCTGTGTAGTCTGACATGGTGGTTGCTGGTGTGGTCCAGCATTTCTGTGTTCTCAAATAATATGCTGTGCCCAGGCTACATAAAAACTCCAACCATCACCCAAGTCAAAAAAGAAGCACCATGAAAGCCTTGGCAGACCGTGCAAAAAGAATCTGCGAAGCCCACCTTCTCCTCCAAGATGAACTGAACCACCTCAACTGGGCTCTCCAGGCCAATGGAGACTCCACCTCAGACATCAGAAGAGCTGCAAGACCACCGAGAAGAAGCCACGAGAGTCAAGATGAAGATCCACCCAGAGGAAAAGTGTTCCTGCCATACATCAAGGGAACCACTGACCGCATAGGGAAGCTGATGAGGAAACACAACATACAAACTATCTACAGACCCACCAAGAAAATCCCACAAATGCTACGTTCAGCAAAGGACAAGAGGGATCCTCTCACCTCTGCAGGAGTCTACTGTGTACCATGCAGCTGTGGACAAGTCTACATAGGGACCACCAAACACAGCATTGCCCAAACACGAATCAAGGAACATGAAAGGCACTGCAGACTACTTCAACCAGAGAAGTCAGCCATAGCAGAGCACCTGATGAACCAGCCAGGACACAGCATATTATTTGAGAACACAGAAATGCTGGACCACTCCAACAACCACCATGTCAGACTACACAGAGAAGCCATTGAAATCCACAAGCATGTGGACAATTTCAACAGAAAGGAAGAGACCATGAAAATGAACAAAATTTGGCTACCAGTATTAAAAAACTCTAAAATTATAACAGCTAAACAACAGAGAGGAAAAAACCAGGCACAGATTAACACCTCCCAGCCACAGATTTTCCCAGGCTCAGGCAGGCCTTCAAATGCTAATGAAGGTGATCAGCTAAACATTCACACCTAACTGCAGCAGGGAAGAGCTCCTTGCCCCACCCCAGCCATTCCACAGATATATAAACCCATTTTTCCTACTTCCAACAGACCTTCTCAACCTCTGAGGATGCTTGCCATAGATGCAGGTGAAACGTCAGGAGAAATGCCTCTAGAACATGGCTCTATAGCCCGAAAAAACCCACAAGAACCTAATATTAATATTGTATTTCATATATTACATGTATCAATAATAATATTATTATTATATTGTAATACATTGTAATACTAGTAGTAACAATATAATAATATATAATATAATAATTGTACATTATATATTACATGTAATAATACTAATAATATTGCAGAATAGTGGTATAGTACAATATAGTAATATATAATACTGATATTGTGCCGTGCTAATAATATAATATATTATTAACAATATTATAACATAATATATAATACTAGTAATAACAATATAATAATATATAATATAATAATTGTATATTATATATTACATGTAATAATGCTAATAATATTGCAGAATAGTGGTATAGTACAATATAGTAATTTATAATACTGATATTGTGATAATGGTATTCCGCAAAAAAGTGAAGACCTGGCTGTTTGAGCAGGCGTTCCAATAATTAGTGCAATGATTGGTTAATGAACACTGGAATGGAACAATGGATGACGAATCTGGAACATGTTTTTGATGACGAGACGACAGTGAATGGGTATTGTAGTAACTGTTTATTAATTGTGTAATGTGTTAGGTTGTTAACTGTTTCTACACTGTAGCACTGAATTTTTGCTGTCCGTATTTGTTGTGAACTGCTGTGAGTCGCCTTCGGGCTGAGAACAGCGGTATATAAGTAAGGTAAATAAATAAATAAATAAATATTGTGCCATGCTAATAATATAATACATTCTTAATAATATTAATATTATATTACATATATTATATTACATATATTATATGTAATAATATTAATAATATTGCAGAATAGTGGTATAGTACAATATAGTCACATATAATAGTTATATTGTGCTATGCTAATAATATATTGTATATGCATATAATATTGGTATTATAATGTAATACTAATAAAATTACAATATAACAGTATATAATAATGTAATATAGCAATACGAATTTATTAAATATACTTACTTCTGATTATATAATGATATATAATGATATGTTTTATTATTGTATATTTGTATATTTGACGTTGTAGTCCAAATATATATTCAATATGCCCAATATGCCCATGGAATGAATTGTACCTTGATTTGGGACAGCAATGTTGAAATCCAGGGGGAAGATCCATTGCCTAGTCAAAGCCATGGTCTTCCCTGTAGTCACCTACGGATGTGAGAGCTGGACCTTAGGGAAGGCTGAGCGAAGGAAGATCGATGCTTTTGAGCTGTGGTGTTGGAGGAAAGTGCTGAGAGTGCCTTGGACTGCGAGAAGATCCAACCAGTCCATCCTCCAGGAAATAAAGCCCGACTGCTCATTGGAGGGAAAGATACTAGAGACAAAGTTGAAGTCCTTTGCCCACATCATGAGGAGACAGGAAAACCTAGAGAAGACAATTATGCTGGGGAAAGTGGAAGGCAAAAGGAAGAGGGGCCGACCAAGGGCAAGATGGATGGATGGCATCCTTGAAGTGACTGGACTGACCTTGAGGGAGCTGGGGGTGGTAACGGCCGACAGGGAGCTCTGGCGTGGGCTGGTCCATGAGGTCACGAAGAGTCGGAGACGACTGAACGAATGAACAACAAGAACAATATATATATATATATATATATATATATATATATATATATATATATCTCCCCCCCTGGATATATATCACATATATATCACACACACACACACATATATACACACACACATTTGGCATCTTGAATATATATTTGGACTATTGTTGGCAGTGCAGCAAAATACAAGATGCGTGTGGATTTTGCATTTTGTGGGATAGCCAGCATGTCAACCTCTGAATATATGTATATTGATATAATAATATATATTACATCAATATATTCTATTAATATACATTATATCTATATTATATATATAAACACATATATTTATTCCTATAATAAATACATATTCAGACACACATAATATATTTACATATATGCCAATAAATCCAGAATTAGAAGGCACCTTAAGATGATTGATAGCACTGAGTCCAAGAGCCAAAAGGAGTGTGGGCGGGGCTACCAGCAGAGAGGAGGGGCTTACTAGGAAGGGGTGGGGCTAGAGAAAAGTAGAGTCAAGACAGAGGGAGGTTGAAATGAATGTAGTTTGATATTGCCTTTAACAGTCATGGTTCAAGGCTATAAGATCCTGGAAGTTGTAGTTTGGCAGAGAAGGCGAAAGGCCTTGTGAAACTACAACTCCCAGGATCCCATTGCTGTGAGCCATGGCTGTTAAAACTGCATTTGAAATCATGGGGGAATTTAAAAGGGCCTGGCCCTGAAGGAGAGACCTTGCGGACCCACCAAAGAGGGCTCGCTACAATGGTGAGCAAAGAGAAATCCAATTAAAAAGGTTTCTACTAAGTTCCCAAAAGAAATCTTACCAAAGTCGAAGGAAGCGCCACCGAGATGATTTTATTGCGATTCAGCTGAAAAGGATGCAAAGCAGCAATATTTCACCAAGCTAAGCATAACATATGTACAAATAAAAGCCTTTTTTTATACAGAAATAAAGTTGCCAGGATTGAATCTCCCATTCCCCGCCCCTCTGCTGGCTCGACGATGATTGGCTGGCGCTCTACAGCT